GGCGTGGCCATCCCCCCAGGGGGGGACTTCTCACTATCTGTCTCTCTGTCTCTCTCTTGTCTTTCTGGTGAGTGCACACACCCTATAGCAAAAACAAAAAAACTTCTCCAAAAAAAAAAAATAACAACAGAAGCGATAGCACAAGGGTGATGTGCTCACTGATAAATGGGCAGTGCCTAAGTGATAAATGAATACACGATTACGTGGTGTTTGAATAGCTCATGAGACAGGAGAGCACTTCAGGCTGAGGAAGAAAACGAATTAGGAAGAGGTGGGATTTGAGTTGGATTTGAAAAGGCAAGTAGAATTTGAATGGGCAAAAAAGAAGAAGAGATTCCAGGTTGATTGAATCCTACTGACAAAAAGAATTTGAGGGAATTTACAGAGATTTGTGTTTGGAATACAATGTGTAAACTGGCTAGACCAGAGAAAAACTTAGGGAGGTCATCTGCAAACAGACCGGAAATCAAACAGGCTACAGAAATAGAAGTCTGTCTTTCTGAAGAACAATCTTCAGAGAAGTTCTGAATAACAGAGAGAGAGATGACCAAAACAGTGTTTTAGACACCTGTACCCCTGTACCTGGCATTCCACAGGTTGTTTTTTTTTTTCTTCTCTAAGGTGTATATGCAGAGAGAGAGAAAGAGACAGAGACCGTGAGAAGGAAAGCGAGAAATCGCCCCCAAGGGAGATGGCCACGCCTCAATCCCTTCTTCTCTGCTCTCCTCCTGGATCTTGGGCATGGACACACATGCGCCCAACATGATTTTCAAGCCTCCTGGTTGGGGACTCAAACTGCAAATGCTACACCATTTGCTGCCCCCTCCCCACAGGTTTTGGTCTGCAAACAGAAAAGGCTGGAAGCAAAGGGCCCAGGTAGAAGACAATTGCGAGAGTATGAACTTGGGGAGACGGGTAGGACAGATGTCAGGCGACAGAGTTTGGGATGTAAGTAGCAATATGAGACGTCAACAGAAAGTGCATGAAAAGTGTGCGTTATAAAAACCTGCACGGTTTAAAGTTTTTCTGCAACTAAATTCTCTTGTATCCCATTTTCCATGAACTTTCTAAAGCCCTCGCATGTTTATTTATTTATTTATTTATTTATTTTTTCCCTCTATTACATTATCCTAATGTTAAAATTCCCTTTTGGGCCAGCCACAGGAGCTAAGGGTTAGGGGAGCTAGACCCCACGTGGCAGGCCTCAGTTTGAATTCCAGCCCTGGCATCTTGAGAAACACACGGTACATGTGTGCACCCCACACCCTGGCAGGATAGGAGAAGGCTTGCGGTGTGACCACACCCATTTGGAATTGCTTTCTTTCTTTATTTTTTTTTGGAGAGGTTTTTGCTATAGAGCGTGTGCGCTTGCCAGACAGACAGAGAGAGACAGAAAGACAGAAAGTGAGAAATCACCCCCCAGGGGGGATGGCCATGCCG